TATCGGCATCAAAGATGTCTGTTCTTCCATTTTAGGAATGTACCCTCTCTGAAGCTGAGTACCACTTACAGATTGTCTGACACAACGACAAATTTACATATACCCATCATGATAACATCTCTGAGAGAAAACTGACAAAAACTATAACAAGACTTAGAACAAAACACTATAAAGGAATGACAATACATCCAGATGGCACAAGAACCTACAGGACATGTAATAACTGTTCTGGTGTGGAACTAACACCTACTCACATATTCTCATGCCCAGCAATGGCCGCAGCCTTGCAGAAAATTGACCCAGAACTTTACACACCCAAGATAGAGGACATTGCTGTGATAGAGATGTACGGAGACATCTGTGGTTCTTCATTGGACACAACAACAACAGAAAATTGACCCAGAACTTTACACACCCAAGATAGAGAACATTGCTGTGATAGAGATACACAGAGACAACTGTTCATTGGACACAACAACAACAGAAAATTGACCCAGAACTTTACACACCCAAGATAGAGAACATTGCTGTGATAGAGATGTACGGAGATATCTGAGGTTCTTCATTGGACACGACAACAACAACATGATAACATCGCTTTCATGACTTACCTAAGTTTTAGACAGTGGGGAATACGAAAGAAGATATGTGAAAAATAATATTTAGAAGGAAGTTTTTGGAGATCATTTTTGTTGGCTGGAAGTTGGTTTGGTAAAAAACACAGCCACATTCAGTGACTCGCTATCCCTCTCCGCAGGGGAATGGTTATTTTAGAATCCCTGTGATCCAAAGAAATAAAAAAAAAGACAGCTAGTTACTGAAATATCGATAATTAAATAAATAAAAATAGTTAATGTAGCTATATTTTATCCAGACCTACTTACAACCAATAAAATGATATACGAAATTATTTAAACACGAATATTTATTTTGTCCCACAAATCTCAATTATCCTTACTGCGAAGGAACAAATATTGGGAAGGGTTGGTTCATCAGTGATCAAACCTTCCAGCGTTTTCCCCAAATTTAATCTATCAGAAGTTGTTTACAAACACTCCAAACTGTATACATTAACTATGGGATAGAGTTACAAGAAGGAAGAACTGATGCTATGTAAGGAATTAGACTTTAACCAACCAGTAATGGTGACTCGGCAGTTATCCAATAGGATTGATGTTTGAGTTCATTTTGTAGATTTCCCAGGAGTATTTATGTCTTCTTCTTGTGGTGATGACTTGAAGCCAACATCATGGTTTCTGCCATTTCATGCAATTCCATCTTCACTCCATAAATGTACACAAGGCAATAACTCGCCATCCATGTTCAAGAAATACAACAAAAGGTATCTTTATTAGGTTATCTAAACGTCGTTACAGGTTTTAAATGTTAGTGGGGGTCCAATTGAAATCAATATCTACATAAAATTTATATATATATTGTATTTTGCCTTATTTAAAACACGATGTAATTCAACCTTTTCCTTGTCGAAGATGAAGTTAAGAGAGCTGAACCTGTATAGGGGGTCGATTCTTTGTTGATAAAACGTTTCGCAGCTGGACATTCGAGGTAGCGGTGTTGAATATCAGGCGGTCCTTGGCATGCAGTGCAGGTAGTTTTGTCTATTCTTGTTGGGTATGTTCAAGAAATGAAACGATAAACGTACGATAATCTTTCTTTCTTTTTTTTTTTTCATATGTGAATCGTTCAATACAAATGTAGAGCTCTTTATAAAACGATATGGTAGATTAAACTGGCGAAACCGCTGGGAGTGTTCACCACTGATGAGCCAGGCCTTCCCAATATTTTTGAAAGCATTTTTGGAAAGTAGAAGGCGTATTTTATATATTTATATATGCCTTACACTGTCCATAAAGGCTATTTATAACAATTTACACCCATACTTATACCTTACAATCACCGGTGGGTTTTGACTTTGCAAATTCGAAATTTCTTTCTCCCTCTATTTGTCCCACTTTTCTGTATCTCTCAGGAATCTGTATATATAAGACTAAAGGTCTATTAATAGATGTATTGATTGATCGTGATAGCTTTATATTTACATACAATCACTGGTGGGTTTGGACTTATGCATAAATCGGATGCTATAGAAGCTTTTTTTTTTTTTTTCGGAATAAAAAAATGTGTCCAATGTGGGATTTGATCCCTGTTCCTGGCGGTCGAGAATCGACGACTCATATCACTGCTCCATGAAATTAACATAAACCAAACAAACAAGAGGTAAACAACAAACACTTTGGGATGCTATATTGTCATAGTTACTAAGGTTTGTTCACCGTTTGTAATCAATTTGTTATCTTTCTCCGAGAGACAAAGTCTTCAAATACAAAGCTTGGAAAATCAAGTAATCAACCTAAAACTAAAGAAGACGTATATACATATTTCTCCTAAGAGCTACAACAATGGTTGGAAAAGAGAAGAAGAAAGAAATTAGAATATGCAAATTTATATGGGAAATATGTAAATATAGAGCTATATCAATCAATCAATACATATATTAAGAGACCTTTAGTCATATATATATATATATATATATATATATAATATCTTGAGTGTAACGTCCTCGTATTTGTTGGTTGACGTTAATCAGCAAGAAGTACTTGGAAGTTTAAAAAGAAAAGTCTTTATTTCTTTTAGGCTAACATCGGATATAATCTATTAATTATTACATATAAGTTTACATGTGATATATATGACAATGTTAGCCTAAAAGAAATAAAGACTTTTTAAACTTCCAAGTACTTCTTGCTGATTAACGTCAACCAACAAATACGAGGACGTTACATTGAGAGATAAAGAAAAAGAAGTGGAACAAATATAGGACGAAAGGAATTCGAATTTACACAGTTACACGGTAAATATGTAAATATAGAGAACTATATAATTACATAGATACAGTATCGTTCTGAAAATAGAGCAATCCATACTTAAATCATTAGATAGATCCTTGTTATATACAGTTTCCTGTAAGTTATGGGTATACTGGACTCTACTACAAATAGATATATGCAAATATGGAAGTCTTTATGCATTTTTTTATATAGAGAAATAAATAGGAAAGAATACATATTCAAAAGAGCTCTTTTCTTCTAACTGCAGCTATGTAAAAATTATAGAGACCCTGAGCAAAAACATTTCATAAAATTACGTGCTAGAAATTTTTATATCCTGATACGTCTTGTTTAAAACATCAAAGGTCTATTTCAAAGCAGCAAGCTGTAGACAAAGTGCTATCTACATTGGCGTGTAAGTAGCTCCACTGTAGTCAGTATCTACAAGTGATGAAGGCCACATTTATCACGTAATCCACCGTAAATGACCAACAGATGGAACTGTTGTGGTGCCAATTAAGGAAGTAGCAACAACAGAGAGGGGCGTGGCTTGCCATCTTCTGCTGGAAAACATCCGGCCGTTTTCTCATTGGTCCACCGTTGTTCGTGTACCATCCGGTAGCGTTCTGCCAACTTTCTTCGTCTGATGTGGAGAGTGTACATCTTTTTCTTATATCTAGTACACGTGGTATATCAGTCATTATAACCATGGTCGATAGTCAACGACTGCTTTTACTGTAAATGCATATCTACAAATGGTACAGGCCATGATAATCATGGCGGGTAGTTAGCAACTGCTTTTACTGAAGAATATCACATGTCTACACATGGTACAGGCCATGATAGTAATGGTGGGTATTTAGCGATGCTTTTACTCTAAGTACACCACATATCTACACATGGTACAGGCCATGATAATCCTGGTGGATAGTTAGCAACTGCTTTTACTGTAAGGAATGTCTACACATGATACAGACCATGATAATCCTGGTGGATAGTTAGCAACTGCTTTTACTGTAAGGAATGTCTACACATGGTACAGGCCATGATAATCCTGGTGGATAGTTAGCAACTGCTTTTACTGTAAGTATACCACATGTCTACACGTGGTACAGGCCATGATAATCATGGTGGGTAGTTAACGACTGTTTTTACTGTAAGTACACCACATGTCTACAGGTGTAGAAATCAGTTCGAATTTTACGCCTACAAGTATACCAGAGCCGGTTACTTGAACTCACCGGTGGAGTTGGAATATTAATTAAGTTTCTAAGTGGTGTTAATTAAACTGGTCAGTATGCCTTGAAGAGTGTACCAGGTCATAATATTTTCTAGGGAGTCGGTGGATGAATGGTCTAAAACGTTGGTTTTCGACCGCTACGACCCGGGATCGAACCCCGCATTTGGCACTTTTTTTTTTCTAATAATAAAAAAAAAAATACTTAAATGGCTTCCGAAATTCCAACCCCACCAGCGAGTGCAAGTAACCAAACGGAACTCTGGCATATTTTGTAAGTGCAAAAGTCGAACTGCTTTTCACATTTGTAGACATGTGGTGTACTTACAGTAAAAGCAGTCACTAACTACTCACCAAGATTATCATGGCCTGTATTCATGTGTAGAAATGTAGTGCACTTATAGTAAAAGCAGTCACTAACTACTCACCAAGATTATCATGGCCTGTATTCATGTGTAGAAATGTAGTGCACTTACAGTAAAAGCAGTCACTAACTACTCACCAAGATTATTATGGCCTGTATTCATGTGTAGACATGTGGTGTACTTACAGTAAAATCAGTCTATAAATACCCACCATGATTATCATGGCCTGTATAACGTGTACTAGGGATAATAATAAACATAAATAAAACGTTAGGATTTAAAGAGGAGAATCTCAGTTCACACCACCATTCACCAAAATGGCGATAATTTTTCTTATAACATCGATCGTCTGTGTGTGAAATCATTTTTCATCGTCTGTCGTTAATCAACTTGATCGATTTCTGGAGGCCATCAGGTGACCTCACCACATGTTGGATCATCCCGGTGATTATGTAAATAAACCTAGTTACATATAAACCATTTACATATTAGCTCGCCATCTACATATTGGAAAATATACTATTTTCTTATGCAAATAAAATTATTTGAGCGTTGTTGGAGCAGTGGTATAAACCGTCGATTTTTCGATAGTAACAGCACGGGTTCGAATCCCGTATTGTACACTTTTATTATTTTTTTAAAGGAAATATTGTGACTTTGTACTTTAACAGTTGGTTGATTATAGTCTCGACTACTTAAAGGCATTTCAAATACAAGGCATAAGACCAAATCCAAATAAATAAATAGTGTGTGACGTTTCGGTAACTACGTTGTTACCATCTTAAGACAAAAGTACTGAAAAAAGTACTAAATTCAGTACTTTTGTCTGAAGATGGTAACAATGCTGTTACCGAAACGTCACACACTATTTATTTATTTGGATTTGGTCTTATGCCTTGTATTTATAATCTATAATCTAAATTTTGCTTTATCATTAAATACATTTCTTTTTACGTGGTCGATTTATCTGGCACTATGTTTACTAAAACACTTAACTAAGCTTTCACCACGCTGATGAGGGCCAACAGCCCGAAACGCGTACGTGGTTAGCTTTTCTTGATTAATCAATAATGGGTATTTGGCCAATTGTGGAATAATAAAAAAAAAAAAAAATCAACGAATAGTTGATATTTATTCCGATAGATGGCGCAAGCCATCAGCAACTTTCAGTTATACGATAAGTATATGCCCTTCTTTTTTAAATTTATTTAACTAAGTTTAATTGATACCAGTTTGAAACTTATTTAATGAAATCATATGTCAGCAATATATCCATAAATACAAATTTGAATTTGAAAAGTCTTTGCCTGATGATTTTGGGTTTGTTGAATAGTCTCAAAGTATCTATAATCCTTTTGAAGGAGACAGAGGTTGTTCACACTTGGTTATCTCGTATGTCTTCAATAAAGGTCACTGTAATATCTTTCAGAGTTATTATCTCAATCCCGATATACATGCTGAAAGGTACAACTTCCTTAAATTTTATCCATGAGTGTATATTGGTTATCTCGTGTGTCTTCAATAAAGGTCACTGTAATATCTCTCAGAGTTATTGTCTCAATCCCGATATACATGGTAAAAGGTACAACTTCCTTAAGTTTTCTCCATGAGTGTATATTGGTTATCTCGTGTGTCTTCAATAAAGGTCACTGTAATATCTTTCAGAGTTATTGTCTCAATCCCGATATACATGCTGAAAGGTACAACTTCCTTAAATTTTATCCATGAGTGTATATTGGTTATCTCGTATGTCTTCAATAAAGGTCACTGTAATATCTTTCAGAGTTATTGTCTCAATCCCGATATACATGCTGAAAGGTACAACTTCCTTAAGTTTTGTCCATGAGTGTATATTGGTTATCTCGTATGTTTTTCAATAAAGGTCACTGTAATATCTTTCAGAGTTATTGTCTCAATCCCGATATACATGGTAAAAGGTACAACTTCCTTAAATTTTATCCATGAGTGTATATTGGTTATCTCGTGTGTCTTCAATAAAGGTCACTGTAATATCTTTCAGAGTTATTGTCTCAATCCCGATATACATGGTAAAAGGTACAACTTCCTTAAATTTTATCCATGAGTGTATATTGGTTATCTCGTGTGTCTTCAATAAAGGTCACTGTAATATCTCTCAGAGTTATTGTCTCAATCCCGATATACATGGTAAAAGGTACAACTTCCTTAAGTTTTGTCCATGAGTGTATATTGGTTATCTCGTGTGTCTTCAATAAAGGTCACTGTAATAACTTTCAGAGTTATTGTCTCAATCCCGATATACATGGTAAAAGGTACAACTTCCTTAAGTTTTGTCCATGAGTGTATATTGGTTATCTGGTATGTCTTCAATAAAGGTCACTGTAATATCTTTCAGAGTTATTGTCTCAATCCCGATATACGTGGTAAAAGGTACAACTTCCTTAAGTTTTGTTCATGAGTGTATATTGGTTATCTCGTGTGTCTTCAATAAAGGTCACTGTAATAACTTTCAGAGTTATTGTCTCAATCCCGATATACATGGTAAAAGGTACAACTTCCTTAAGTTTTGTCCATGAGTGTATATTGGTTATCTGGTATGTCTTCAATAAAGGTCACTGTAATAACTTTCAGAGTTATTGTCTCAATCCCGATATACATGGTAAAAGGTACAACTTCCTTAAGTTTTGTCCATGAGTGTATATTGGTTATCTGGTATGTCTTCAATAAAGGTCACTGTAATATCTTTCAGAGTTATTGTCTCAATCCCGATATACATGGTAAAAGGTACAACTTCCTTAAGTTTTGTCCATGAGTGTATATGGGTTATCTCGTGAGTTTTCAATAAAGGTCACTGTAATATCTTTCAGAGTTATTGTCTCAATCCCGATATACATGCTGAAAGGTACAACTTCCTTAAGTTTTGTCCATGAGTGTATATTGGTTATCTCGTGTGTCTTCAATAATGGTCACTGTAATATCTTTCAGAGTTATTGTCTCAATCCCGATATACATGGTAAAAGATACAACTTCCTTAAGTTTTGTCCATGAGTGTATATTGGTTATCTCGTGTGTCTTCAATAAAGGTCACTGTAATATCTTTCAGAGTTATTGTCTCAATCCCGATATACATACTAAAAGGTACAACTTCCTTAAGTTTTGTCTCCATGAGTGTAGGTGTTATTTCCATACTATCAGAAACTAACCAGTCCGTACTGCTGAGAGGTAAGTGAACTCAGGTCCAACAGGCCACAGTCCACGGAGCTTGTTGTTCCAATGGGATATCGTGCACGAGGATGATTGACACGACGGTGGTCTCGGATGAAGGGAAGAGTTCAGAGGTCAAGGTTTCCTCAAATAAAATTGATTGTTTCCGACGCATTGTCTTTGCGACATTGGACGATTGTTTCAAGTCCAAATGACGTCAGTTCCTGGACATTCTCTGGTCGCAGGGAATCAAACGTTCACCAAGCTTTTCATTTTTTACCTGAGTATATAGAATTTTACACAGACGATCTAAAACAATAGACTGGACGACACGAGGAGGTGAAGAGGATGGCGGAGGAAGTATGGAGAGACCATGTGGCCAGCCACCCTCAGTAGAGGAAGGCATTGAATGTGGGAGATATGGAGAAACCATGTGGCCAGCCACCCTCAGTAGAGGAAGACATTGAAGGAGGGAGATATGGAGAGACCATGTGGCCCACCCTCAGTAGAGGAAGACTTTGAAGGAGGGAGATATGGAGAGACCATGTGGCCAGCCACCCTCAGTAGAGGAAGACATTGAAGGAGGGAGATATGGAGAGACCATGTGGCCCACCTTCAGTAGAGGAAGACATTGAAGGAGGGAGATATGGAGAGACCATGTGGCCCACCCTGAGTAGAGGAAGACATTGAAGGAGGGAGATATGGAGAGACCATGTGGCCAGCCACCCTCAGTAGAGGAAGACATTGAAGGAGGGAGATATGGAGAGGCCATTTTGCCCACCCTGAGTAGAGGAAGACATTGAAGGAAGGAGATATGGAGAGACCATGTGGCAACCTGAGTAGAGGAAAGCATTGAAGGAAGGAGATATGGAGAGACCATGTGGTTACCCTCAGTAGAGAAAGGCGTTGAAGGAGAACACAGAATTTTGGGAGAATCAAACAGCGGGAACCAAAGTAAGTCAATTAAAGAACGAATTACAAGCCAAGGAATTTGAATCTTCACACACAATTTGTAAAGTTTTATTTCTTTACTGAATGTGGTTGTCGCATCGAGATAAGAGTAGTTAATGAATTAGTTTGAATATAAGGCAATAATGAACCACTACTCTCATGGAGACAAAACTTAAGGAAGTTGTACCTTTCAGCATGTATATCGGGATTGAGACAATAACTCTGAAAGATATTACAGTGACCTTTATTGAAGACACACGAGATAACCAATATACACTCATGGACAAAACTTAAGGAAGTTGTACCTTTCAGAATGTATATCGGGATTGAGACAATAACTCTGAAAGATATTACAGTGACCTTTATTGAAGACACACTAGATAACCAATATACACTCATGGACAAAACTTAAGGAAGTTGTACCTTTCAGAATGTATATCGGGATTGAGACAATAACTCTGAAAGATATTACAGTGACCTTTATTGAAGACACACTAGATAACCAATATACACTCATGGACAAAACTTAAGGAAGTTGTACCTTTCAGAATGTATATCGGGATTGAGACAATAACTCTGAAAGATATTACAGTGACCTTTATTGAAGACACACTAGATAACCAATATACACTCATGGACAAAACTTAAGGAAGTTGTACCTTTCAGAATGTATATCGGGATTGAGACAATAACTCTGAAAGATATTACAGTGACCTTTATTGAAGACACACTAGATAACCAATATACACTCATGGACAAAACTTAAGGAAGTTGTACCTTTCAGAATGTATATCGGGATTGAGACAATAACTCTGAAAGATATTACAGTGACCTTTATTGAAGACACACTAGATAACCAATATACACTCATGGACAAAACTTAAGGAAGTTGTACCTTTCAGAATGTATATCGGGATTGAGACAATAACTCTGAAAGATATTACAGTGACCTTTATTGAAGACACACTAGATAACCAATATACACTCATGGACAAAACTTAAGGAAGTTGTACCTTTCAGAATGTATATCGGGATTGAGACAATAACTCTGAAAGATATTACAGTGACCTTTATTGAAGACACACTAGATAACCAATATACACTCATGGACAAAACTTAAGGAAGTTGTACCTTTCAGAATGTATATCGGGATTGAGACAATAACTCTGAAAGATATTACAGTGACCTTTATTGAAGACACACTAGATAACCAATATACACTCATGGACAAAACTTAAGGAAGTTGTACCTTTCAGAATGTATATCGGGATTGAGACAATAACTCTGAAAGATATTACAGTGACCTTTATTGAAGACACACTAGATAACCAATATACACTCATGGACAAAACTTAAGGAAGTTGTACCTTTCAGAATGTATATCGGGATTGAGACAATAACTCTGAAAGATATTACAGTGACCTTTATTGAAGACACACTAGATAACCAATATACACTCATGGACAAAACTTAAGGAAGTTGTACCTTT